AACGTCTGCCGGGCGGTAAATAATTAAACATGATGGACTTTCACACCTGCAGCCCAGGTGCACAGCGTCAACGTAGGAGCGCGCCCCCCTGTCCCCGGCCTTCTGCGTCACAGAGACGTGTACGTCGAGGGATTTAACCACCTCCAGGACGCTCAACCAGAGCAGGTGAAGCAGAGCGGGTTCTCCTGACCCAGTTAAGGTTCTTCACATACGTTCACAGAGGAACGTGCTGAAAGGTGCAGAAACACGAGCAATCTGCCTGGAGGCGGGTGGTCCGGTTGGTCAGAACCAAGTTTTATTGTGAAACTTCACAGTTTATTAGTCTGAACGCCGAGTCAGCATCCTCATCATCCTCATCATCACTTTCCCGTTTATGACTCGTCTGTTCGTTTTCACGGTCCAACTAGTTCTGCTCACTTTGTGTTGCTTTTAGCCATTTATCAAAACGTTCGGCTCGTTTGGGAGATGGTGTTAGGACTTTTGGTTTTATACTTTACAAAATATTTAAATTTACTTACAAAGATTTCCCCCAAAGAATTACACAAAAAATTATTTTAGCTACTGGTTCCATTTTTGTCTTTTAGGGTACCTTTAGCTAGCCTTTTGGTATTTTAGCCTTTTAGATGCATTTGTGTTGCTTTTAGCTAACATTTAGCTAGTAACACTTTGATACATTTAGCTAGTGTTTTGCTACTTTCATCTTGATCTGACATTTAGCTAATTTAACTCTTAGCTAGCCTTTGGCTACTTTAGCTAACATTTTACTACTTTTAGCTTTTAGCTAGAATTGAGCAATTTCTTTCTAGCGTTTTTCTTCCTTCAGCTTTAAGCTTGACTTTTACTAACTTTAGCTAGTCTTTTGCTACTTTTGACCCCCCCCCAAAAAAGTTTTTTTTTAGCATCTAGCTGCCCTTTGGCTACTTTAACTTAATTTTGCTACTTTTAGCTACTCTTACCTTTTACCTAGAATTTAGCTATATGTAGCTAGCCTTTTACAACTTTAACTTTTACTTAGCTGCTTGCTACTATTGTACTACTGTTTGCTTTTAGCTAGCCTTTTGCTACTTGTTAGCAAGTCTTTTGCTACTTGTTAGCTAGCCTTTTGCCATTTATTAGCTAGCCTTGAGCCATTTATTAGCTAGCCTTTTGCTA